TTACTAAGCGTATGACCTTCATCAGGAAATAGTAATAATTTCACAGGCACTCCTAAATAAGTTAAGCTACGTTCTAAAATATAGCTTTGATCAGCAGGAACTCGAATATCATTTGTGCCAGTGCTGATGAGTGTAGGTGTTTTTGCTGCATTTAACTTACTCATAATTGACTCTTTTTCATAGATTTCTGGTACTTCCCATGGGAATCCGCGGAATAAAGTATTAACATACACGGGAAAATCCGTGGTACCCCACATAGAAATGTGTTCGACTGGCCCAGCACCGGATAGAGCAGCATTAAAACGTGTTGTCTGTGTAATCAACCAATTCGTTAGAAATCCACCGAAACTATAGCCACCAATGTTAAGTCGAGTTGGATCAGCAATGCCATCGCTTATAAGACTATCAACACCAGCAAGAATATCTCTTCCTGGTCGAGATAATAGTTGACCAGAAATTTCATTGAGAAACTGATCACCATAACCCGTTGATCCTCGATAATTAGGTTCGAGTACTAGCCAACCTTCCGTAGCAGCTAATGGAGCCCAAGTATAATAATCTGCATGAAGCATATTCATACTTGCCTCAGATGGACCACCATGGATGAGAACGAACAGAGGTAAGTTTTTGTGTCCGAGTTTTCCTGGCGGATAATGTAGAATACCTTCGATCATACGATTATCGTCATGATTGATCCATCTGTACAATTTAGCTCGTGGTAAACTTCGTGTTGCCAACAACTGATTTTCATGAGTAACTGGTTTTGCCCAAGGAAGTCCATCGATATGTTTAGTAAAATACACTTCTTCCGGACGATCGAACGAGGAATATAGAAAAGCAGCCGATGAATATTGCTCTAACTTTGACGATGAGATCGATCGATACGATCCATGCCAACCAGGTGCTAAGCATGCATATTGCGATACTGATTGTTGAATGTACACATGCACATTAGTTCCTAACTGTCCCAATATAAAAACGCCACCTTCAGATCGAATAGTATAATCTCGAACGGCTCCTTGGAAACCTTTTCCCCATTGTTCAATATGTCCATTTGTTAAATCAATCGAGTAAAGTTGTGGTTGCGCACTAGAGAATGTTTCATTGTTCAATTTAACTGGATAAACTTGAAAAAACACATGTTTACCATCTGCCGATAGCTGTAGATTAGTTTCAATGGCTTGGCTGTTCGTCAATCTTATTAACGATGAAGTATCGTGCAAATCTATCGCATAAATATCTATATCAGATAAATTTTCGAACATTTCCGGCATTGAGACGCAAACAATTTTATGTTCAGATGGAATCAATAATAGATCACTAACAATGAAATCGACATGTTTGATAGAATGAAGTTTGACAGAGACTTTTCCATGTTTTCGTTTGATATCAATTCGTTGAATAACACTACCATAGTTAGGCTTACGCCGACGATATTCAATAACATCTTTCCATTCAGCTTCATACAAACGATCAGCATCTTCTGTAGATTCTGTTGATTGTGCAGCAAAGTAAAGCGATGAATCAGTGGCCGACCATGTCAAAGCTGATGGTGTTGCTTTGCCAATATCAATCGATAACAATTCGTCTGACGTAACACTATAGACATGAATCTGCTGCTGACTTTTCGAATCTTTGTTGCCTGAATGTCGATAAAGTTCACGATCATCTGTTGAATTAGCCGTAACTTTATCATTACCATAGTAGAAGAACCAATCTCCACTGGGTGACCATTTCGGTTCCATGAATACAGAATATTGTGTAGTAATTAATTCTTTCTTCGATCCATCAGTTGTATATAACCATAAACTGTTGTCATATGAGTTTAAGTCCCATGCGGGTTTTCTAGTGTATACCAATAGGTGTTGACCATTTGGAGAGAGACTCACTGATTGAAAACTAGTTGCATTAAAGAATTCATCGATTGTTAGCTTTGAATGAGCTCCGATCGATGTATAACATTGCAGTGTAAAAATGACGAATAAATATACTCGCATTTTCTATCTTTCAAGACACTGATTCTAAAAGAAACAGGATAATAAATTAACATATAAGGTGGGAGAGAGCAATGAAAAGTATAGGAATCGATCATGTATTACAGGAAAATAAAATTCAAGTTAAAAATGTAAATATTTCATTAAATCCAATGTGATAATAAATGGAAATAGAAACGAATGAATCTGGTGGCAAAGAACTATATTCTTCGTGTTATATAAGACTAAGCCGATCGATAATCGCCACCAAAGACAACCAGTAGATGGTAAACACAGGTGTGTGAATATTACATCTTTCTATTGGCTTATGTGAGTGGCTATGTTAACTTTTTCTTGTTGTTTATGTGATATTATCAAAGAGATTATTGAAATATTTTTCTTTTTGTAAAACTTAATCTATGTTATGATCTAATATAAGTGCAGTCGCTGGTCCTTGATATAGCGTTTCTTTATATAAATATTCATCTATCAACAGATTTCTGTCTAAACCGTAAATAATAAGTTTTGGTGTAAATGTCAATTATATATATATATGTCGCAGGAGAAATTAAAATTTTAGTTTCTCCTAGAATAAACTAAAATTTAATTTTCCTGAATATAAAAATATCACCTTTATTACTTTTATGTTTAAAAAATACAAAAATTAAACTAGACATTTGAACACGGTTTCGTTTTTAATGAATGGCATTTAGTGCCACATTGTACTTTTGCTGCTCGACAACGACATTCCTTTGTTGAACACTTGCCATCACAGTTACATGCTTCAGTAGGAGTAATTAATCCTGCGCTCACATAAGCTTTATAGGCTTCATCATATAATAACTGTTTTATAGAAAACTTGTCTTGGCATTTGTAATTTAAACTTTCAATATGTTTATCAAGTGATTTATAAAATTCTTCCATGAAAATAAGAGAGCGAATATCCACCTAAATGATATATGCGACGTTTATTTAGGTGTACATTTTTCATTCATTTTGATTTTTTTATCGATTCCATTGGCGACAAAAGATATTTTAGTTTTTCCTATAGGAAAAATAAAAATATGAAGTTGATACTCTTATATATTAAGGAATATTTAAAATTCTCCTGAAATTTAATTTCTCCTGCGACATATATATATATATATATATATATATGTGGGGCTATCTGTTTCGTCCCGTTGATCATACCTTTTTGCATTATCTATCTTTATTTAGAGAAAGATACCAGAGAATATCTCCTCTTTACATTTACAATACTTCTTTAATACTCGTATTATCATTCCTTTGCTTCCAGCGATGCTGAAACTTACCTCGATGAAATACACTTGTACTATAGGGTACGAAGCTCACGCTTCCTTCCTCTTCGCTGGAACAGTAAACAGTAAATCGAGTAAATCATCTTCCAAAGAAAAAACAAAAGTCTTAAACGGAATATAGAAATATCTTACGGAATGGTCAATTGAATAATCCCTTATATACGTGAATAAGATTTTACTTATGCTGCATTTTATGATACTTTACGGGCAAAAACAAAATGCTACAAGACTATCGAACATTTAGCGGGAAAAAAACAAACGTTTTAATCAAATTTAAAGCAGATCTTCTGTCCCAAGTGAAGATAGATGATCATACTGTGCAAGCCATTTAAGCTCTTCACGAACTTTAATTTTCCCATGCCACGGATTATTACTGAATGCATGGCCTTCATCAGGAAAAAGTAATAATTTCACAGGTACTCCTAAATAAGTTAAGCTACGTTCTAAAATATAGCTTTGATCAACAGGAACACGAGTTTCCTTTGCGCCAGTACTGATAAGTATAGGCGTTTGTGCTTTATTCAAATTATTCATTATTGATTCTTTTCTATAGATTTCTGGTACTTCCCATGGTAATCCACACATAAATGACGCACCATATGTAGGAAAATCCGTTGTACCCCACAGAGAAACAAGTTCCGATGCCCCAGCACCAGATACAGCAGCATTAAAACGTGTTGTTTGCGTAATCAACCAATTCGTTAGAAATCCACCGAAACTATAGCCACCAATGTTAAGTCGAGTTGGATCAGCAATGCCATCGCTTATGAGACTATCGACACCAGCAAGAATATCTTTTCCTGGCCTAGATAACATTTCACATAGAACTTCATCAATAAACTTATCACCATAACCGGTTGAACCTCGAAAGTTAGGTTCGAGTACTAGCCAACCTTCCGTAGCAGCTAGCGGAGCCCAGGTATCAAAACTGGTTTGTAGCTGATTCAAACTTCCACCAGTTGGACCACCATGCATGAGAACGAACAGAGGTAGATTTTTATGTTCGAATTTTCCTGGTGGATAATGTAAAATACCGTCGATCGTTCGATTATCCTCAGGATTCCTCCATCTGTACAATTTAACTCGTGGTAGATCTCTTGTTGACAAGAGTTGGTTTTCATGAGTAAGTGATTTTGCCCAAGGAAGTCCATCAATATCTTTAGTAAAATATACTTCTTCGGGTTGTTCAAAAGAGGAATACGTAACAGCAACTGACGAATATTGCTTTGACTTTGACGATGAGATAGACCGATAAGATCCATGCCAGCCAGATAACAAAGAAACACCTTCCCATACATATTGTTGAGTGTAGACATGCACATTAGTTCCTAACTGTCCCAATATAAAAACGCCACCTTCGGATCGAATAGTATAATCTCGAACAGCTCCTTGGAAACCTTTCCCCCATTGTTCAATATGTCCATTTGTTAAATCAATCGAGTAAAGTCTTCCTTGCACACTTAAAAAATTTTCATTGTTTAATCTAACAGGATAAACGAGAAAGAAAACATGTTTACCATCAGTTGATAATTTAAGATTGTATTCAAAAAGTTTGCTGTTTGTCAATCTTATTAATGATGAAGTATCGCGCAAATCTATCGCGTAAAGCTCAATTTCAGATAAAGTTTCAATTATCGGTGCATAAGAGACGCAAACAATTTTATGTTCAGATGAAACAAATAATAGTTCAGTGACGATAAAATCTACATGTTTGATAGAGTGAATTTTCACAGAAAGTTTTCCATGTTTTCGTTTGATATCAATTCGTTGAATAACACTACCATAGTTAGGCTTACGCCGACGATATTGAATAACATCTTTCCATTCGGCCTCATACAAGCGATCATCATCTTCCGTAGATTCTGTTGATTGTGCAGCAAAGTAAAGCGATGAATCAGTGCCCGACCATGTCAAAGCTGATGGTGCTTCTTTGCCAATATCGATTGATAATAGCTCATCTGAAGTAACACTGTAGAGATGAATCTTCTGTTGGTTTTCCGAGCCCTTGTTGGTTGAATGTCGATAACTTTCACTATTATCTGTTGAATTAGTCGTAACTTTATCATTACCATAGTAGAAGAACCAATCTCCACTGGGTGACCATTTCGGTTCCATAAATACAGAGTATTGCGTAGCGATTAATTCTTTCTTTGATCCATCAGTTGTATATAACCATAAACTGTTGTCATATGAGTTTAAGTCCCATGCGGGTTTTCTAGTGTATACCAATAGGTGTTGACCATTTGGAGAGAGACTCACTGATTGAAAACTAGTTGCATTAAAGAATTCATCGATTGTTAGCTTTGAATGAGCTCCGATCGATGTATAACATTGCAGTGTAAAAATGACGAATAAATATACTCTCATTTTTCGATGATTCGAAGCACTGATTCTAAAAGAAGCAAGATAAGAAACTAATATATAAATGATGAGAGAGTTCAATAAGAAGTATATTAATCGATGATGTATTAGGATCATACATCTCAGCGTCCTAATATATCCCGAGGGGGACGTCCTTTGTAAATAACTTTTTCGCTGGAATGCTGGCCAGCGCTGCGATGTATGATTTGGGCAGAAAACAAAGCTAAAGCTTAGAATGTAAATGTTTCGTTAAATGCAATGTGATAAGAAATGGAAATAGAAAGGAATGTATCTGGTCGCAAAGGTAAAGATATTTCATTTATATAATGCGAGTGATAATCTGTTTTGAATATGACATTGTGAATCTACGTATAGTCACCGCAAAAGACAACCAGTATATGATAAACACAGGTGTGTGCATATTAGACCTTTGCATAAGCTAATATGAGTAGCTGTCTTCATTTATTTTCTTGTTGTTTATTTGATATAATGCAATAGGTTACTGAATTTATTGTGTTTATATCAACGTTAATCTTTGTTTTGATCGAAGATATTTGCTCCCTCTAGTTGTTGAAAAATATCACTCTAAATAAATATCGATATATTAATCTAGAGCTTTTTATCGAAACGGTGTATAATCAGTTTGTTTGTAAATATCAGGTCAATAAAATTTCAAACGAATTACAAAGAAAAGAATCATAAAGTATACAGGACAGTATTTGTTTACAATACTGGAAATAAATTAGCTAAGTCGATTCTATCCGTTTCATTAAGACGTACATTTAGTGCTTCACGTACAGGTTCCAAGTGTTCTGACTTTCGTGGTCCAACAACTATTCCTGTAATTCGAGGATCACTTAGTAACCAAGCTAAACTTAAACCAGCAATGCTTATATTACCGAATCGGTCGCTACTGATCTTTTTCATGGCATCTAAACCATCAAATATACCATCTTGATGTTCAACATAAATCTGATATGGTTCTGGTCGTAGTGTCATCCGAGAACCCTGCTCATATTTGAGACCTCTTTGGTATTTGCCCGTTAACCATCCGCCGGCTAATGGACTATACGGAGTGAAACCCAAATCATGTTTAGAACACAATGATAACATGTTTTCGGCTTCTCTATAGTTTAACAGCGACATTGAATTTTGTACCCATTCATATCTACTTATACCAAGATTACCACAAATCGATATACTATTTTCTAATTGTTCATCACTGATATTTGATGCTCCATGTGCGCGTATTTTTCCACTTTGTTGTAATTCATCAAAACATGTAAGTGTTTCTTCCAGTGATGTTTCTGTGTCCATTTCATGAGATAAATACATATCTAATTGCTTGACTCCCAAACGGTTTAATGTGCCTTCAATTTTCTCCGATATTCTTGCTTTCGATAATCCCTGACTATCGCCAATAAACATTGGATTATAAGTTTTTGAACTCAACACTAATCTATTTCTAAATGATTCATCATATTTTTTTAGCCAACTTCCAATATATAATTCACTTCTGCCACCACCATAGGCATCGGCCGTATCCAACGTTGTTATGCCAAGACGAATCGCAGCATCAAGGATTTCATGTGCTTGTTCTTCATTTTCTCCTTGATTGAAAAACTCAGGAGCCGATCCAATACCACCAAAAGAACCGCAACCAAGAATGATACGAGATATTTCAATATCACTCTCGCCAATTTTTTGATATTGCATCGTTGTGTTATCTTATCTAAATCAAACATTGCTATTAGAATAATTTCAAAACGGAGATCACCAAGCTCAGGGTACTAATTAGTTCATGTCAGACACAAAGAAGTATAAAAACAAAACAATATAATGATAAAAATGATCAACAACGAAAATAGCGAAAGAAAAATAATAAAAAACAAAGTTGATAAAAGTCTAGATGCCTTCGATACATGATAGTGGGATGCAATGGAAGAATTTATCGATGTCTAAAGCATATTAATACTACTGTTATATTTAGTAGAACAACAGATCTAGAAAACAATTGGACTTGTATCGATTTTTGAATCTTTTCTAACGAAGGTTGATCCTATGGATTTGGTCGCTGACAATTTACATCGCAGGCAAATGAATTTTACTGAATAGCAAGAATAAAAAATTGAAGCACCTCTTACTACGTAGTAATCCGAACGAAGTCGATGAAAATCCATTAGACTAGACAAACTGAATCAAAGGTGACTATGGTTCAGAAGACTAACCAGCCACAGTATCAGTATTTTGAATAGATTCGAACACTTTTTAATAGCTGAAAGATGACTCTATATTCTTCCTCTGACGCAAACGAGAATAGCGCATATCTTATCGTTACTCGCACGTTTGTTGCACTATCAAATTCAAGCATCGATGATAAGATACTATCGATGTAAAACCTACAGCAGACTAGATTAATAACTTGTGGAGCAACCGTTTCCAGAGGCGATATAATCCAACGTCCCATCGCGTTTAAATAAACAGTAGTAAATTATCATAGAAGTCGCCATTCTGAACGTATGCGTACGAATGATTTCATACTCAGCACTTGAATATCCTTTCAACAATAGAGAAACGTAGGAACGAAATAGTAGATGTTAATGCTGAGATTTCGACAATTAGACAGTTGGCGACTATTTTTATAGTAGTTGTTCAAAATACTATGGCTGCCTAGTAATAGCAAAAATATCTATTTAGTGGAATTAGATGGAAGATGCGAAAATTTTCTATATCGAAATACATGACATCAATGGGAATTTGTTTTAACACGCATCACTATATTGATGTCATCATCTCCGACTTGATTTTGAGTTAGTTTTAAACTTGGATATGATTCAATGGTAGTTTTTTCAGGAGAAACCAATTGATAACTCACGAGTTCTTTGATCTCTGAGCTCGAAACGTTATCTTTCTTTACACTATGGTACAACTTTGTAGCATTTGTTCAAAACTTTCTGTTGCTTTTGATTCCCTCAAATACGGATAAAATAAGAGTCTCTTATTATCTCGATACAATTTGAAATAGAAGATGATTTTGCTCTCTGGGAATTTATGTGCGAAGTTGTGATCTAATTGAAAATAGCTGATCATTAGTCTAAAACCATTCTGACCGATGATTACTCCAAGATCCAATCCAAGTACCTCGAATCTTCAAACTCGCAAAAAAAAACACAGTGAACTGTTCCGTTGTGTTTTCACCACTTACTATTCTATGTTCAATTATTATGAAATCAATATGTATTCATCATCATTTTTTTTTCATGTATACTGAGTGTATGCTTATGTTCGTAGGCGTTCGTTTGTTTGACTACTAATAGTTGGCATACTCTCATTGTAGTATATCTCAAAATCAATAAAGAAAAACAAGATTGAGTTACTAACCTAAATCTCAACAGTCTTTTTCTTCTCTCTCGTGCTCATAGACTCACTAAACATATGTTGGATTAGCTATCTTTTTGATCGAAATAGTTAATCTATAAACTAAAACTCGCATACTTCAGAGTTTACGATAATTAATTCTTCTCTAAAGTTCGCCTATTTCTTCTGCAAACAAAAAACAAAGATTCGAGATAAAATTCAACTTTGATTTTCGCAATGAAACTATTTTCTTTTTCAAAAAAGAAATACATAAGCACCATCTCTATTGGCGGTCATTGCTGATGATGAGCACAATACTTGATATTTTCATAGAGTCACATCCACTGACATACTGGCCTTTATTAAATAAATAAAACGAATGTTTATCTTAATAAACAACAGACGTTCATTCTCATGTATTTATTTATTCATCTCTTATTCGCCATCGAATGAAACCAAATCATGATTCAATCGTTAATTACTCTTCCTATCATTTAATTAATAACAAGATATCACAAAGATTTCAGACACTGATTATTTCCTTTGTTAAGATGGAAAGGATTCAGTGTCGTCTTCTGGTTGTTTTTTTTTGCTTTCTCCACAATCCTTAACGGAAGGGATCATTGATTTTTCTCTTGGTTAATCCATGTGAAGTGTTGTCCTTATTTTGTTAATTGGTCAGCAGAACTAACACTCAATATGTACGATGATTTAGCTTGAAAAATACAAAGAGAATAGAGAAGAAGAACAACGAGAAAAGAAAGAAGGAATGAATTACATCGTTTCCTCGCTGTTGCTGTTACTGCTGTTGTTGTTCCTTTTTTCTTATCTCTATAGGCCGAATCGTCGTCCAAGGTGAGCGAACAATAGTAGCAGTGTTCGTTCTAATTGCACTGCAAGAGAGAGAGAGAGAGAACGAGGAAGAGCAACATACTGTTCGGTTTCACCAACCGTTCGCCATCTACACTTGACATTTGCGACAGTTGGTCATCGTTCTTTGATATTTCTACTAATTCAGTTCAATTCAATTAATAACGATGGCCTGCTGTTTATGTGCGAAATACATTCTTCTATTTTTTAATTTACTTATATGGGTAAGCTATTGAATTTCTTTTTGTTTTTACTATTTATCGATCGCTGTCGTTTACATTTAGTTAACTGGCGGTGCTTTTCTTAGCTGTGGAATTCTTGTTTTATATAAACGTGATCTACATGAACTATTTGCACTATTATCTTATGATTCACAACTTGTACCATCGTTTCATAATGTTGGCTACGTATTAATTGGTGTTGGTGCACTTGTGTTTATTGTGGGTTTACTTGGCTGCTGTGGTTCCGTGCGTGAATCTCGACTTTTACTTGGACTTGTAAGTTATTTTAAATAAGAAATGTTTTGACTTAGCAAACAGACAAAAAACTCGATGATTTCTTTGATTAGTACGTCTTTTTCATTATACTTGTCATGGGTGGAGAACTTGCTGTAGCAATGTATACAGTAGTATTAGGTGATGAATGGGATAGAAGTTTACCAAATACATTAAAAAGTCGTCTTTCAACATATAACTATACCGTTCCACAAAGATTTGAATACGATTTGGATATCGTTCAGAAACAGGTATGTGACATAGAATCGTTTCGGTTTTCTTTCAAAATTTTAATTTTCTTTTTTCTTTTTTAAATATTTATCTAGTTTTCATGTTGTGGTATTCATGGTCCATCAGATTTTCATGATAATACTGATTATAAAATATATGGTAATCGTCTTCCGTCGTCCTGTTGCAATATTCTATCGAATGGTATTTGCAATGAATCTGATTCATATCGATTAGGTTGTTTTCAAATCATAAATGACAATATACAACTTTATTCAAAATTAATTGTAACTGTTGGAGTTGGCATTGCTTTACTTGAAGTAAAAATAGATATTTAGATTTTTCGACCAAATTTATTTAATTTTTGTTTTTGCTTTTAGTTAACTGCATTAATTATGGCCGTATGTGTTTGTCGAAATACAACAGAAGAAGATGAATTTTATTAATATTTATACATGTATATATATATATATATATGTGTGTACACATGTTTAGATAAAAATAAACAAATATTCTGTAATTATTTATAGGAAAAAATAAGTTTCCCTGAAAGTGCAACCATAACTTGTGTCGCTAGTAGAAGTAAACAAAATGCTGTTCCATAGATATGCGATGGCCAACCGTTATGATGTATCAATCGAGAAGCTTCACACATAGCTAACAGAAGAGTAAAAGATGCAAGAAGATAAGCTCCGGGCGCTACTAAATTCCAGTATTTCGAAAAATGTCTAGAAAAATAATAAAATTCCGAAGGCGGAAATAAAAGCATGCTTTCGTTTTACTTTATAATCATATATGATGATGCAAGTATACCGATAAATGTAAAAATAAGACTAAAAATACTCATAATGCGTGATAAATGAAGTTGATTGTATTTAGATGATGATCGAAAATAATCGACATGAGTTTCGATTTCCCAATTACGTGACGATAAAGCTGTGCAAGCAAAACTGAAAGCTAATATACCAAGTATAGAACCACATAATGCGGTTAAACAATCGCATCGATTCATTATATTTAATAGCGCCCTTTTTCTCCTAACTCATGATGAAAAAAGATAACTTCAGTAAATGCAAATGATTAATGTTACAAACAAACTGTATTGTTACGATTAGATCTTGAGGGTTTAGGATGAGAATTTTCAAATCAACTCGAAAAAACTGTTTGCCTTCAATCTACATGAAAATTGAATTATTCTTGATATTTTCGTTGAAAAGCATCGAAATTTCGAATTGTAACTTTTTTTTTCATTGTTTGGAATGGAAGGCGATACAAAGAAAACAAGAAAAATTAGACACTTCAAATCGTGTCTGATACCCATAAACAAGCGTCGACTTAATCAAGCGTATTGCAACTAGGGGTGTCACATTTAAATTTAAAAAAATTTATTAAATCGAGAAAGAAATTTTCAAAAATTTTAATTTAAAATAAATAAAAATTTTTTTAAATGAAAAGTTAAAGCTACTCATTCTTCTACGAATAGTGCTATTAAATATATTTTTATCAATATTCCAATATTTTGAAGAAGAAAGATGGATGGATTCTGTATAATCTGTAGAGAAATTTTGACTAATTTGAACAAATATTAACCTAAAATACTAAGTTCTCCTCTCATTTAGTGTTTACTACTGTTAAAGTCACGTATTTTCCTCGACGCAATGATGCGTATCCATCCAAACAATTTTGTTAAATTTTAAATTTAAATTTTTGTATGAGAAAAGTTTTAATTTATTTTAAATTTAACTTTATAGAATTAAATTTTAAATTAAGTTAACTTTTCACGAAATTAAATTTAAATTAAATAAACTGTACATTGACACCCCTAACTGCAACTAAGGAAGTCGGGCGACTTGTAACCTTGGCATTTCCTACTCATCGAGATCTATATAAACTGAAAACTTTCTCAGAAAATCTTATCAAGGAACCATCCGTTTGAATAGCTCGACCACATTCATGAATAACCCACGTTTGAAGTAGCGTATAATTACACGTTACCTTTTTCTATTCAATAATAATTGTTTGAACGGTTTTTTTAATTTCATTTTTTCTTTGTTGAATAATTCGATTACTGAAATATTGGCATCTACCTTAAAAGTTTCTCTTGCATGCTTATAGATTTCTTTAGAACATCGACTGACATTACAGAATGAGAATAGCAGCCAACGAGGAAATGAACGAATTGATCTTTTCCTCTATTGAACAATTTAAATAAATAATGGAAGAACGAGCTAATGCGTTTGGAAAGCTTGAAAATATCTTCCTTCTACAATCATTCCATCCTTCCGGAAATCATCAAGTCTATTCACGAGCAACTCTGCAATTTAAATGCTACATAAGAAAGAATCTATAGTACTTACAGTTTTTCTATTCAACCAAAATAATAATTTGAAAACAGTGTAATGATAGTGCATATATTTAGCTTTGCGAAAGACATGAATGTTTATATTCCAACGATGAAATTTGATACGCAACTTTCGTTTAATGAGATCTTTAAAAGAAATGGATTAACATCTTGGGGCAGGTAATCGATTGTGCAATACTAATAAAATCAGTAGAATTCTATTTGATGTATTTTAATATTCTGTTGTTGAAATTAACATTCAAGAGAAGGATCATTCGTGCTTTTCTGTTCTTCTCTTTTTTTTTGTGAAAAATAATTATTCTAATCTCTCTTCTCTTTCTTCTGTAAATATTCAGTTTTGAATACTTATTCGATATGTGAAATTTTCGATGCGATATGCGCGATAATAGAGAATATCTTTCTATATGCATTTTAATGATGACGATGATGATGATGATGATCAAATCAACATAGAATATATAGATGTTGTACATAAATGAAGCGAGTAAGAGAAAAAATTTACATGAATAAAAAATCAGTGCGAGGTCATATAATGTGATGATGACGGCAAGAGAGAGAGAGAGAGAGAGGGCGAAGAAGAGATGGTGTATGCATAATCAATTAGAGAAAGAAAAACGAGAGAAACAAGTCGAGAAAGCTACACACCCTATATGACTTGTCACTAACAACAATTACAATCATCAGATATGGTAAGCATTTTTTGTTTTCGTTTTGTAATCCAACAGGTAGTTCCACCTGTGACTTTTTTTAAATCTAAAGCTCATCAATTTTCCATTCAGAAAAAGACAAACTTTCCGATAGGCCATTTTTTAAAACTCTTTTAAGTTAGGTTTTATGTTTTATTTGATAACAGTTTAACTCTTTCTGAACGGAAATATTGAGAATGACAAAGATTAAATCATTATCTTTTTATCTCTATATACAACTCCTCTTTCTATGATATATATATATATTATTTTATACACTAGTGTAGGTAATGAAATAATATGAGAATGCAAATATATATATATATATATATATATATTCAAATTCGAGTTTGATCTCATTAGCCACCATCTCCAAAATTCTTTTTTTTCTTTTTCTCGCGCCGTGAACGTAACATGCTCGCATCTCCTCATCGTTGAGAGGCGAACAGGAGCTCGTGTCCGCGCTCCCCGTTATGTATGCAAATGGTATGTATATTCATTTTATTGCATTCAGTTTATAATAATTCCTCTCTTTGCATCTCTCTCTCTCTCCCTCTTCTCTGCTTTTTACGTCGTCACTTTCTCGAGTTTTCTCAACAAAAGCAATACGAAAGCTGAAGGGGAACAAGAATAGGATTCTTCTATTTATTGTTAGTTTTCCGTCAATTGACGAATATTTAAGGTAAGATGCATAAAGAACTTTTTCTCACGCGAGAAATTGCTTTTTTTTATGATATTCAAAAGAAATTTGATATCGAATACTTTTGGAATTGTTCTCTTATCAGTACATTTATTATCAATCATAAAGTTGAAATAGATAGTTTTTTTTTAATATAGACTTCATAGAATACAGATATACTCGGTATTTTCCTATGAAAAAGTTGAATGAAGATTTCGGCATTCGATGTATTCGATACTTCTAGTAAACATGTGCATAAAATTTCTCTAGACAGCGACTTAAGTGTCTTCTATTGATCAACATTTTTAAAAGTTGATCTATGTTAATTTTAAACAATTATTTTTCGAAATATAATAATACTGAAAATTTATGAATTTTTACGCCCATAATTTAGTGTTATTGTTTTTGATTTTCTCACGATCAATAAATGGTGAAAGTTTTCTGCGTAGCGAGAAAATATGTGATGATATTTCAATAGCATTGATTTTCGAATTTCGAGTTCATTTCTGATATTAATAGAGGAAAAACTTCGACGAAGAGAGCTATGCTTAGGTCTGAAGAAAAATTATGTTTGAATTTCTGATACATATCATTATATAATATCAGTTCGTCAAATGCATTATGTCTCGTAGTCTAGCTTAATAAGTAAATTTTATGCATTGTTGTTCTACCAAAAATTGATCAGTCATGAGGCTTTCTTGTTTTTTTTGCATTCGAATTAATGATAATTAGTTGAAGTATGCTTTAAGTTATGCTAATTGATGATCAGTGAACAAGAGAAAATTAAGAATAAATTCTTGTCAAATGAAAATAAAATCGAATAATATATAATCGAGAAGAAAGACTTTTTATTATGAGTAGATTTTGAGCTTTTTGTCAAGTATCATTGGCTCTTCTTGTAATCATAAGGGAATAAAAGTGACACAGTCACGAAAGAAAAATATGTAAACATTGCAAATAGGAACTTTTTTTTTAGCACAATATTGATGAAGTAAAACTAGATTTTATAATTCGAGCTTTTTAGGAGATTCATGCTCACAGAATATGTTCATAATTATTAAAACTAATAAATGATTTTAGCGGATTATCTGAGACAGTATTTTCTTTGTCTGTGCTCGGTCAGATACGTTACTGAATGAATATTTTCAGTTATGTAATCAATATTTAACGTCTTGTAGTAAGGATGTTTTTCAAAAATTAACTAATTAAGTAGTCATCAGAATACTACCTATTCTGTACCTTGAAATCGATGGAAATCGATCGTACTCTTATATCTTCCAAAAATAACCTTTCAAACTCATACAAATTAAAGAAGATTAAATTTAATTTAGTTATTAATGTAAAATTTCCGTAGCGGATATTGAAGGCTCTTCAACACAATCTGCTAGAAGATTCTTTGAAGTTTTTTTCGTTGTACATAAATTATTAACTGAAGTAGACAACAAAATATTTCTTTTTTGTATTTTTCGACTGTATATTCGTTTAGAAAATGCAAACTTTACAATCGTCTACAATGAAATTATGGTTCTCAAAATCATACTTTACTACAATTCGACTTTTATTCGAGATTACATGATCATGAAAAAGTTTCGCTTCACAAATATATCAAGTCTATTTTTTACAGAAGCTCAATGCATCGAATTCGTCAACTCGTTTGCGGCGTACACCTACAGAACGTAACACACTACTATTATTTTATACAATACTTGATGGTATTACCGATACATCGTGAAGTGGCGCCCTCTGGTGGTAGTAATAATGCGTGATGACAGTTCGAAGTGAGTAATTTGACACGCCTCATAAACGATGAGATGTGCTAACGAATGACTAGTAAATGGGTCTCGTTCCATTAGTATTGACAACCACTTGCCACTTATTCTAATAGTTCATGTTCACTGACACACGCATGTATTCAAACTGCGGAACAACTCGTGCGTGTGTTAAACAAGGGAAAAAAGTTATAGTGCCATCAATTGTAATTGATCTATTGCTTTTGTATTAAAGCAGATGGATTATTTAGAGAGAGAGAGAGAGAAAAAAAAGGAAAGCCTTTTTTGTTATTTCTTGTTACTTGATTAGTTGTCATCATAAGACTAATGTAATTAGAAAATGTATTTATCATGTCAGATGGTAGAAATTAGTTGGCACAAGTTCAACGAAATACTTATTCTATGTTCAGTGGAATATACATACGATCTTGTCTTTGTCAAGTAAATAAATTTCTCAGATTACTTAACTTAAATACCATTGGAAAACAAAATTCATGTAACATATCCATAATATTGATTGATACAAAAGACGAAAAGCAAATTGAATTTTCTATTTCTAAAAGAAAGTTAATATCCTTTTCGCACATATCTATCTAATTAAAAAACAGCCCTAAGTTTGCTTCGATAAAGTCATTTATATATGTATGTCACGTCTTTATCTGTGCACTCCGCCCCCATTCCATCCGGTCTCATGATTGGACTCATCTGCCTCTCAAGAAAATGATTGATAGTCTTGTCTTGTCGAATGTATGTTTTTTTTTTTTGTTCATCAACACATGCTTCGATAATATTGTCGGCAGCTTAAATATATATATATATTCTTGACTTTACTCTTCGTCTTACTGTCATGATCAACTCAAGACGAAACGAAATCCGATCGATACTCATTGGTATGCAGCTTTTTTTCTTCTCTTTCAACATGAGCACATCGGCAAATAAGAAATTAAAACAACCAATCCAAATACATATACTCTATAATATGCTTTATTAAATTTCTCTGTAAAAATAAAAATAAAAATTGTTATTATTTTATTGAAAAAAATGAAAGCCCTATTGACACACACACGTATATACATTTTCTTTTTCTCATATGTATGTTGATGTAGCTATTCAATATGTGTCTATAATTCGATTAGAGTTCGCTTCACTAAATTTAAACTTAGAAATGTCAACAAGATGTGCGAGCCATAAAGGGAACTATAGTGTAGATATCTAATAGAAATACGATCGATGCCGCTCTTTTGAAGACTAGAAAAATAAAAATGATCAAACAATCTATGTATATGGATACGGCAAGTGTGTAGAATAACATTAGCAGAATTGTGCAAAAAAGAAAAAGACGAAGAAAGTTTGGTCTCTTTTTCCTTTTGTCAATGCCATACTGTCATCGAGCAGGAAGCAAGGATGATTTGCATATATGCAAAAGAAGATAGAAGATAACTGCGTGATCACACACTTGTCTGTTTGTCTATCTTTTGAGTCGAGAAACAAGAAATAAGAATTCGATGTTTATTTGCTGATCATTGAATTTTAAATTCAGAAAGCGAAATTCTTTATTCGTAACAATAGTCTCTTGTGACTTGGCACGCGCGCACATTTTGTGTATTGTTATGTCTCATTCATTGCTATTTGTTTAAAGGTGGGCAAGTGCCAAGTGTTGATTGTTCGAGTGGATGTGCGTGATGCTTTTCTTTTCTTTTTCTTAATTTCAAGGTGTCTACAGAGACAAAAAATCAAACAATAGAAAAGAAGCCGCATTAAAGACAAGTTTCTGTTAAAAAGAATGATGCAGTTATATATATATATATATATATAGGTTTGTCGAAGAATACAACAGAAATCCATTGCGATATAGAACGAAATGTAGGTGTTGAAAGGTTGTATATTTTTCAAGGTGAGAAAGGATTAGTTTTAGCTCGTTTTTATTTCATTTCGATAAGTAAGAGCGTCTTGGTAATTAAGATACATTCACATCGTGTCTACTCAAATGAATTTTCAAGATTTATGTGTGAAGTATATTGATTTAAAATGTTTGACTTGAATGTATCGTGTGAGATTGAAATTTTTCATTAAGCAAATGATTATTGAAGTAGTAGAGAAGAAAAAGTTTTCTATAGAGCACTGGGTGTAGACGTCTCGTATACAAAAATACATATTCGAGCCGAAGAAGGTTTTACATTAAAATCAGCCAACAATACGAAAAACAACTCGCCATGGATCCAATCATTAATTAGTTCCATCTGTTAGAAAATTGTAAAAATTTAAATACTACTCTTTCTCTATCTAGTCTAATTCGCATTGTTCGAATAATAAATGAATAAAATCATAAATTTCATCATTCACGTTTTCATATTATTTTTCTCTAACTGTATCGAATGAATAACAAAGGAAAATTCGATTAGCTTAATTTCCCGTGTCTCTGATCCTGCCTAGCAAGGCAAAAGAAGAAAAAAAACTTCAGCTAATTTAATTTTATTAGTTGTATATCCAGACTTGTCTAATTAGCAATGGTCGATCTCCAACTGATATGACCATCTGCTGCATGTTTGTATTTTACTATTATTTTTTTTTCTTTTTGTCTTTTCAATCGATCAATCGTTCGATAGTTGTGCGACACAGGAAACGTCTTGTGTACACACATACGATTAGATTCATCAATCACGCAATGGTAACGACGAAAAGCAAGCAAAGAAGAAGAAAAAAAATCCGAGCACTCTATCCAATCAAAAAAAATCGAGTTCCTACTTCTTGAATCAACCAACCCGCTTTTTTTTTCTTTCGCTCTCTCTCTTCACTTGTTGAGTATGTGAGCTTATAGAGAAAAAAAGGAATCTATCTTGTCATCGGGCACACACACACTCACACACACACACAGAAGAAAAAAGGAGAGAACGAGAGCGAAGAAAAAAGACTCCTTGACAGAAGAAGCATCGGACGGCGGCAAATCTGAATTTCATTTGCATTAAAAACTGATTATTATTATCCACGCGAAACAGCAGTGCTACTGACCCCCCATATTGATATTCAAATAATACAACGATTCATAGTCGTGTTACATTCTCCTTTCTCCTTCTTCTTTCTTTTTCTCAAGCACCGATTTCAGTTTGTACTAATTGAAATCTGATTATTAATTCGATTGATAGAATAATGGTAAGTAATCAGCATACTAAGTTACATCTAAAGACAAGCAACAAAATTTATCATCCGTGAAAAAGGAATTATTTTAAAATCGCAATTGTTTTCTTTTTTAATTCCATAGTTTTGATCTTCTATCGAAATCATGTCAACATCACCGACGTCATCATCAGTTGCAGCAGCCTATGCACTTCATCATCATCACATTCATACTCATCATCATATTCATCCATTTCATCATCAACATCATCTTGACGCGCCAAATACATTTTTCTATCCACCAGCATCATCCGATTCATCATCAAATAATACCAATGATTTAATTTTACAACAAACAGATATTAAACCAACAAATACATATTTATTTTCAAATGCAAAAAGTATTTCTCCATCGCCAGCAAGTCCACCAAACAGTGTTGCTACTGCGTGGCCTGTTATAATGCAACATCATCAACATAAACAACATGCTTTATCAATTGAAGATTATTGGGCATCAAATCCTTCGAATTATTATCAACCTTCGACTTATCATCATCATCCGTCAAGTTATATGGCCAATCATCAATTTCTTCCAACTGCCGATCATGAACATCATTTCCATTCAAATCCACCAGCTACATCATCGAACCAAGGCAGTAGTATTGTTGAAGATAATGATATAAATATAACTCAATGTCGTTCAAATAATAATAATAATAATAATGAGGAGGAGGAGGAACAACAGATACATATGGATAATAACGATTTAAATCGTTTTTCAAAGCAATTTAAACAGCGACGTATTAAACTTGGCTATACACAAGCAGATGTTGGCCTGGCATTGGGAAATCTGTATGGCAATGTTTTTAGTCAAACAACAATATGTCGTTTTGAAGCATTACAATTAAGTTTTAAAAATATGTGTAAATTACGTCCACTATTAGCCAAATGGCTAGAAGATTCCGAGTCACAAACAGGTACAACTAATTCTATGGAGAAAATTGCAGCCAGTGGACGTAAACGAAAAAAACGTACATCAATTGAAGTTAGTATTAAACAAACACTTGAAATACAATTCTGTCGAAATCCAAAGCCGACCGCACAAGACATAACACAATTAGCTGATCAATTACAACTTGAAAAAGAAGTTGTTCGAGTATGGTTTTGTAATCGACGACAAAAAGAAAAGCGTGTTACACCACCGTTAGTAAACGTCTCAGCATCAGCATCAAATAATAATAATGCTCATCATCATCATCATATAAAAAGTCCAAGTACACCACCATCATCTCATGGAAATGGAGAAGAATATTATGAATATCATTATCCAACACATTTGTAGACAATACTTTTCTTTTCTTTTTCGAGTTTTTTCACTTGTTACACACTTTACACAGTGTTTCTCTTTTCTCTATATTTTGTGTGATACTGTCAACAAAATAAAATGAAAATAAATGATCTATGAATTTATAAGATTCACGTCAATTATGTTGATAGACAAGTGGCACGAAAAGAAAGTCAACAGATCACTACACAAGAAGGAACAATTCAATGATGGCGGCGCTCTCTGATCTGATAGCATAGAATAGGATTTAGAGTGAGTAGTATAGAGCTAATCAAAAGGGAGGCCAGATGGTTGGATCAGATGCATATACGTCTCTCTCTCTTGTGATTGTTTTCTTACGATGAGTCTATAATGAAAATGTTACTTCTTCGTGCACAATGTCCCTATGGTGTAAATGCTGAAGCAAGCGCATCCATATTACATTTGCATCTCAATCACTGTGTCACTTGTGTACTTCTATCGACATATGGTGATGGTCTTGTGTGGGTATAAATCAAACAAAAAAAGAATTGACATTCGTATGTGACTTTTCTCTGTTATTCACGATCAGGTGAGACAGAGAAAGCAAGTGAAAGAGTATCATCACTTTTTTTTTCGGTGTCAAATATACATATATACCCCCAATTGAAATATCACCGATGACACACACACATTTAATCATACACATTTATATATACACGATCTCTTTGAATTGAATATCTGTTCCGGTTCCGCTGTCTTGTATTTTGTTTTTTGTTATAGAAGAATTACGTCTATCAATATCATGCTTCTTCTTTTTCTAAATATGTTGAACAATTGCCGACAAAATTTTATTATTTTTATAATAAGGAAATAGATATAGCATGAGAATGTGTGAGAAAGATCAAGAGTGATGTAGTGTTAAAATATACAAAAAGGATATGATTTCAAATTATACCGAACGGATTATTTTGATATAATTGGCACATAGTCTTGAAATTTATTATTTCATAGGATATAAAATTATTGATCTCAATTCCTTATCATTAGGAATTGTTTTTTTTGCTCCTGTGAGTCTATCATTCGGTGTATGATAAATAGAAATATTCGAGATTTTTTTCTATTCGTACATAGACCTAAGCAACATGAGTTGTTTTTCTACAGTAATTATTTACGCCTTATTCAAATTTTCAAGTGACTCAAACGTTAAGGATTAAATATTCTTGATATTTATTGAGTAGCTTTCGAATGTGTAAAGTTTATGCAAATGATTGATGTTTGGCAAATAATTTTTTATTTTTCAGGATACTTCTACCGAGGAATTAGATCAATGTGAAATACGCCGTTAATAAGATTTCAGGAACATGAAAACGTTTATTTTAGCGCATTCTTTCTTTTGCAAATAGAAAATAATGCACTGTCTTGTTGAGATTCATTGAGTTCATATGGAGAGCTCTATTTCGTACACAATAGGGTTTTAACAAAAACGAAAATATTTTTTTTGCTTTAAACAGAAGATGAATGGAACTGGGTTGTTTTCTTCCTGGAAAGTAAAGCCGTAATCAGAATGGTCACAAAAACGTAATGAAATGTTAATCAGCGTACTGTTAAAGGTGTGTGTGACATAAAGAGAAAGGATAGTTCGCATGAGTTTACAGTTTTCTTTGTTTCAATGGCACTCACATGCCAAATCGCAGATGAAAAAATTGCAATCTCTTGTAGTATCTTCTACTTATGAAGCAAGACAATAGTTCTTCATTCATTCGACGAACTGATGCATTTTAGTTGAATTCATATTACCAATCATGAAACTTTGCGTATCAAATAAATTCGATGGTTTCGCTTTTGAATTGTTCCCAAGAATATATTCATCTACATATGCTTCAGTATTTATATGTATTTCGAAGACGACACTCTGTCAAAGTTTCTAAGGTAGATAACTGCATAATTGTTCAGTAAGTCTAACATCAAGAACAAAATTGATTGCATCAATAGAAGAATGCGACTTTTGGCGAAAGATCATTTTGAGTAGAGTGAAAAAAGAACAGTTCGTTTCAAGCTCAAATGTGCAGCTATACAAAACAATTAATTTCAATTCTTTTGTTTCACTAATATTTTGTCCTTGTGTGATTTTTGTTGTTACGACTCAATCCATTGATTTTGTGTTTGGGTCACGCAAATATTTATATTATTTCAAACGAATGGTAAAAATAATAGTTTAAGTTCGAAAAAAGTAAAATTCAAATTTTGATATTTGTGTTTCATTCGAAAAAATTGTCGAAGCCTTTTTTCGCTATTTGAATTTCTCGATTGAACATACGTGACTTTCACTTGTAATTGAATTTATTCTATTGCTTTTTGTATTGATAACGACAATGGGTAAGATTTCTCAAACGTGTTTTAAGAATCTTAGAAATATGAAAATGATGTCTAGTGGATGAAATAAACTGAACACGAGCTAGTGAAGTAATGCATCGTCTGAGAGAAACATTTTGTTTTTTTGTATTAGCTCTTCACTCGATTCCATCACTGCGCATTCAATAGGTTGTTCTATGCATGATCGTTGTTTCAATTATTATTCCTTGATTAGTTCTTCTCACACCGTGGATTTTGAGTTTCACCCGAATACAAAATGCAATGCGAAGCACGTGCCAATTTTTTTTAAAGAATTGTGAATAAGATAAATTGATTTCGGCAAAAGTCATTTTATCTGTAAAACAACATTAAAAAATCTATACTGCTATTTGATGAAGCAGACATGAGGCTTTTACAGTAAACAGCACCGAGAGAGTTAGTGATGGTTGAGAAGAGAAAAACTTTCGAGTAATGAAAAAAATGGACTAGCACAAACCGATATAGTAGAGATGTGTATGTATTTTTCTAGTCAATGACGAAACTTGCTCTTTCAGACAGACTAATTACTCATAGAGACAACTATATGAATATTTTTTTTGTTAATCAGATGATAGCGATCCGATGAATTGCATATACAGTGCGAGGTACAGTCCGAACTGATAGACCAACAAGAATGGCGATCTCACAATCTTCTCTAGTTTTCATTTATTTGAACTGCAAGATTTTTCAAAATATTCACCAGTTGATTCTCTAGAAAAATGAACACGAATTCCATAAAAGTAAAGATTAAAACTTTACTGGAGTATTAATGCCTGACTCATGTTCCAACTTGGCGCAGTGACGTATTTAGGGA